TCGAAGCAGTATGTACTATAATAAAGCGTGTTAGCCCCGTTAGCTAGCTGCCTTTCAAACACGTTTTGCACCGAAACCCTGCTCTAAATGTGATCAAAACGTGCCCCTCCTGCTTAAATGCGACCAGATCGAGTATTGTGCATGTGCTCGCACCGTTTTGCGAACGGATCGGATTTAACTGGCCATCTGGAAATGAAGTGTGTAAACTTTCCTCTGAACTTACAGTCCTGAAGCCCTTTGCCTTCTTAGGTGGTTTTTGTTGGCATAGCCAGTTAGCAAGAGGACAGAGGAAGAGGAGGTCTGAAGCCCATCTCTCAAACAGGAAACAAAGATAAATCAAATAATATGAAAATTAAAACCCATGTGCAGTGAATGGTCATGCTTTTGGAACGAGCTTGCACTTGGGAGATGTTTGATTGTAAGATCGGGGCACATTCATAAAACCCAAAATGGATGCGGATGTTATAAGTATGCACATAAAAGACGCATGGCAACTGTGAAATCCTCATGCATGATTTCAGAAAAGAATTACAATTATTGATTTCTTTTACAACAAGTTTCTATAATTTATCTTAGGAGCAGTATATAGAAACGACCTATTATATTCAGGAAGAGTTGACAGTCATAACACTACTCTGCTGGAGGGTAACAATTCATTGGCTTCGCTACAGCATGAGCTTAAACGACAGTCCTTCAAAAAATGGAAAATAATCGTTTAAAATTTGACATAGTTGTTTACTAACTCATCAGAACTAATATAACTAGCAGGATGGATTTGGTTTAATGCCTGGCAGCCATTTTACATGGAAGCTAAAGCAAAGCCATCATGCAGTGATGCTTTAATAGCCTGCTAGCTGAAGTGACAGGTCCTCATGACGACCTAAACTAGTTATTATCTAGTTAATAAACCCCTCACGGTTATACAAATTAAACAACAGCAACCCTTTCGTTTTGCAAAAGTATTTTAAAAACGCTTTAGAGCGAATATGGTAAAGCTGTTGTTAAGCTAGCGACCAGGCGAGCTAGTAAGCTAACTTCCACTCAAATCAAGGTCATCTGGGTGGGAAGCTTTAATATAATCAATCTAGGATCTACATACTATTGTTTGCTACACGTCTGGTTTGGTAGCTTTTTCGTGCAATGGCCAAATACGAGTAAAACTCATTGAGGATTTCCCATTGCACTCCACTGACAGAAGCACTTGACATGGGTTAGCTTGTCGGCTAACACAAGCCAATTGAGACAGACAGTTTCAATATTTCACATAAGTGATAATTAAACCGGACTGAGGGTCCACAGACTAACGATCATAGATTCCATAATGTATAATTATATACAGCTAACGTTAAGTTACACGCTGAGGTTCCTGACCGGTTTTGCTGGCAAACGCACTTATTTCATGCCGAATTATCTTATCATTTTCAAAAGCAGATAAATGGCAACTTCTTTATGCAATGATGAATTCTAAATACAGAAAATATCGGTCAAGGCTGTCCGCGTGGACTCAAAGCCCCCACTGGTCCCACTTACGGTCGGTTGCATCCGCCTTCAACTGTCTAGAGCTGAATGAATAGGAGCGCACAGCAGAAACTGCTCCCTCTCTGTGTCTGTAAAACTGAGCTTGGCGGTGTCTACGCCACGGGAAATCCGATTGGACAGTAATGCGCATGACGTCGGGGAAGTGTAATACGGAAGCCACGCCTATACTAAATCTTGATTGGATGAGACTCTACAGTACCTGTGTTAAAATGTTCTCATTGGTTAATTTCAATTGATCCCACCCCACTACGTCTGAGGGCGGAGCGTGCGTGAGAATGCTTGTAAATAATAGAGAAACTCACTAATCAAAAGGTTTATGTCGATAAAATATCTAATCAATTTTGATGATTAGAGTCGAAGTCTATAATAATAGCTACTATCAGTGTTTATAAGTTTAGTTAACCATTTAAAAGCACTTTCTTACGATACATGTACATTAATACCGCTTCCCCTTTGCACTGTAACATAAATGTTATCCTATTTATTTGTATTATTATTAGGCAGGGGTGTAAAATATACCGAGAAATTGTACATAAGTTTAAGTACAGATACTATGTTAAAAATGTTACTCAATTAAAGTCTAAGCACCAAGCCTAAAAAATATTTGAGGGAAAGTAAACAAAAGTATCCACAATTAATTGAACTTCAGTATTTAAAATTAAGAAGTAAACACTTTTCTTAGCTTTTTAATAGACTTTTTTAGAACAGACAGAAGAGATCATCTCAATAAATAAAAACAAATAAATTCCTGCTTAAATAAAAGGATAGTTACACCTAGAACATGATTAATTGGCTTGTTAGGATAAAATACCTTTTTTGTATTTTTTTTGTAGAAGATATAAGTCCTGATAACATATGTATTTTGCACTACATGAAATTGTTATAGAATTATTATTATTATTATTATATATATTTTTGTAAATGTAAACATGCAAGCATTCTGTTTTAAGGGTCTTAGTTGCAAATTCTCCAAAATAATACTTAAGTAGTGAAGTATTATTATTCAAATACTTTACACCTTCATTATTAGAGCTATTCTAAAATGCACTTTTGGAAGCAAACAAAGGTCAAGATTTAGAAAGTATGAATCATCTCACTAATAAATGAAAATGTCTGTAATTAAACTATGTCATTAGGTTGCTGTTTGGTGTCAGGCTCTGGAACTTTTTTATCTGTATTCATGCTGCCCCTACAGAACACACTGTACGGTATGTTTTATACAGATAACTAAAGTCAAAAAAGGGTGTCACCATTATCGTGTCCTTATCATTTTCACGTCTCTGGGTGGACATATTTGAAGAAGTGATCTGGGTTAAATACTGTACATCTATGAAGATGGATAAATATGATTAGGTATAGTAATTAAACAAAAACATTATTCAGAGACAAATATATACAGAAAAAGATCTAAATGCATCAATAAAAGAGACAAATTAAACAATTCAACATTTATTACAACACCCTTTTATTGAAAAAGTTTGCTTGTGTTTGCAAATAACTGCACATGACATAAATCAGAGAAGGTCTTGCTCTTGCAACACATGCTGTGTCTGTGTTCATTTATTACAAGAGAAACACTTTGAGCAGCAACCTGAGTTATATCATGCATGAAAGATGCACAGACCTTTTATAGGCAGGCTTTTATAGATATGTGAAACATGTTTTAAAATCAGTCCATTCGGTGTTGTTCACACTAAACATTCAACACTGTTATCCACTCAAAGGTTTAGCCATCTTTTGTCTTCAGAACTGCTATAATTCTTCATAGCATAGATTCAACAAGGTGTTGGAAATATTCCTCAGAGATTTTGGTCCATACTTACAGTACATGACAGCATCAGTTGCTGCAGATTTGGTCTGGTGATTATAGAGGCCGTTTGAGTATAGTGAACTCATTGTCATGTTCAAGAAACCAGTTTGAGATGAGCTTTGTAACATGTCACAAACTGGAAGTATGAGTACACTGTGGTCATAAAGAGATGGACATGGTCAGCAGCAATACTCAGGTAGTCTGTGGCATTTAAATGATGCTCGATTGGTACTAAGGGGCCTAAGCGTGCCAAGAAAATATCCCCCACCCTATTACATCCACACCAGCAGCCTGAACCGTTGATATTGTGCAGGATGGATTCATGCTTTCATGTTGTTTACACCAAATTCGGACCATACCACCTGAATGTCCAGGCAGAAATTGAGACCCATCAGACCAGGCAACCTTTTGCTCAAACCACTTTTGTCATTATCCTCTGACCTCTGGCATTTTCGCCCACAGAACTGCTGCTCACTGGATATTTTCTCTTTTTCAGACCATTTTTCAGACCAAATTGAAAGTCACTTAAATCACCTTTCTTCCCCATTCTGATGCTCGGTTTGAACTTCAGCAGATCGTCCTGAAGATGTCTTCATGCCCAAAAGCATTGTGTGTGTATATATATATATATATATATATATATATATATATATATATATGTGTGTGTGTGTGTGTGTGTACTGTATGTATTATAGTTTGCAAATGCCTTTTGTTTGCAAAAAAACAATGCTTTTATGTCCTATATATTATATGGAGTTCACACTTGAGGAAGAAAAAAACTTATTTTATTTTATTTTAATTTATTGTAATTTTAACATTTTTTTCTGAGGGCCAGATAGTAGTAATATGGCCAAAAAGTAAGATGAAATTCAGAGCTTGTGTAAATCGATGAGTTTCAATCGATCAATTGTCACTGTACAAAAACATATAATGCAATGCCATTGATAACATAAAATCAACATAAAACATATTCAATGCAATACAATGATGATTGAGAGAAGTACAAATAAATGTTCCACAAAAGCCCGCTGTATCATGCTACATTTGAAAGAGATTTTTTTAAAACGATGCATTCATAATAAACCTAAAATGTTTTAGTTCAGTAAAGATATTTTTATGTTTACTTTATAAAAATCATTAAATATTTCACAGCAAAAACACTCGTGTGCCACAACCTGAGGGTATACATTTTTACAATTTTATTTAAAAAGTACTTACTAAAAAAGTATGAACGAGACTACCATTTAGAGGGGCAAAAGCATCTTTGGTAGAAACTAGCTTTCATACGCTACTGAATATTTCGAATCAAAAATATGACAGAATCTCAAATTAATCAATGAATCCTTTGTGAACAGATGCGTAACAGGTATGAACAGTCTGACCGAATCGACTTTCTATTCATTTGAGCTGAATTAATTGATTCATACGATAGTTTGTACGAGAGAGAGGAACAACTACTAGTTAAATGTAGTTTACTACTTTTAATTTGTTACTACTCATCTCTGGTAGAGAGAGATATTTTAAACTACAGAACGCACGTTTACGAACTACAACTTCCAATACGTAACAGTTTCCACGCGCAGCCTCGCTGGTGGGCTAGCGCATTCCCTTGATGCCTACACGCATGCGCAGTTGTACATGGGAGCATTGGGTATCAATTTGGTCAAAAAGCGGGTGATAAAATGGTAGGTGACATAGAAATTAAAAATATTACTGACGTTTTCTGCATCCGTGTTCGACGGAGAAGCTCTGGCAAACTTAGATATTCCGCGTCTTGCACGAGTTGTTGTCTGCGCGGGTCGCACCGAGAATGATCATAATTGTGTATATGTTTTGTATGGGCAGGAAGGTCAGTTGTTGATATTTAGGGAGTTCAGCATGTACCTTTCCGCCTATCTGTCCTGGACTCATGCACTATGTGCTGCATAATGCATCTGAGGATTATTATTATTCTGTGCTTTAGCCAAGCATGCATGCTGTTAACCCTGATGTTCTGTTTTGAATTTTCGAGACCCTCCAAGCCCTATTTTAACACACCAAAATCTTACTTAACATCGAACAATCAGGTTAAACGTCATGACTTTTCCCAAATGCAACAGATCTGATTATAAACAAGCTTTCAACTCGGATGTTATGATTAAATAGTTTTACATTTAAAAACAAAGCTTATTTCTGTTGTGGTGTCATTGAGACCCCAAGTTTAAAACCTGATTGATAAATGCAATGACATCACTGATGTTTTTAAATGTTTACAATGATTTTACACGTACAATATAGGGGCCTCTGGGACCCCAGACAACCAGGCAGTCAATAATGTCAGCAGAACAGGAGGGTTACATCCATACCCAGCTATGAAATGTCAAACGTAAGTCTTTTAGCCCTGCCCTTTCAACCCAGCCCCCAATAGCAGCCTGGTTATTTTCCAGATTGTAATACCCTCTAAACATGTCTTAAGTGGGCTATCAAACTTTTTGCACATTGTGTTCTGGTTCTGTGTCTTGTGATGGCACAGTCAGAATGGTTTTTTGAACTCGTTTTAAGAACTAGAGTAAAAACAGCTTACTGTGCATCGATGGAAATAACTGTAGGGTAACCCGGTTGTTTTGCACTGGCCTCCCTGAGCTTGCCATCTCATATTACATGCCAAGAGCAAGTGGCCTGTCACAGGTCCTCACATGCTTGGTGCTTCAGTCGAACTTGCTATAACCGGTAGAATGTCCTTTTAAATTGCCACATAGGTCTGGACGTTTGGTCAGCGCTTTGTTTATGGTTGTTCCAGTTGTCAGCTTTAGTCTTGTGCCTGAATGTGTGCAATTTTCTCTCTCTGTATGTTCGTTTGTGTCTCTTTCTGTTTGTACACACTGCTGAGTGTATTCCTCCGTCTGTCTGAGTTCATGTCTGAGGGCATATCTTTTGTGTCCACACAGCATAAACTAAAATCCTCCCAAAAGGACAAGGTACGGCAGTTCATGTCCTTTACTCAAGCCGGGGAGAAGACCGCAGTATACTGTCTCACTCAAAATGACTGGAAACTAGAGGTGGCCACGGACAACTACTTTCAGAACCCAGATTTGTACCACAAGGAATCCATGAAAAGCTCAGTGGACCGAAAAAAGCTGGAGCAGCTTTACAATCGATATAAAGGTGAGTTTTAATCTAATTCGGATGTGTATTATGCCTGCTGTCCTGTGCCTGAGAGTATTAATGCATGCTAAAAAGTGCTCTTAGTCATTTGTTTCTCATTAAAAAAGGCTTACACAATTTTTTTTCTATTACTTTTGAGAAATATGATTCAATTGTAAAGCTTTTTAACTTTTCTACCCAGAGTGGCTTACACTCTCGTGAGGGCCTTCATTTTGAAATCACACGACCAGCAGTGTCATGCAGTTCCACTGTGTTACTAATAATAAAAACAAGTTTACTTTATATAGTTCTTAATCAGCGGGTACTTAAAGTTGGCATGAAATGGAAATGCATCCTAATTTATTCATGTATGTTTCATTAAAAAAAAATGTTTTGACTTTGTAATGTTTAATCAAAATTTCACAACTCTTCCCGTGAAATGACACGTTTTCTCTTTGGTGATTTATGGCAGACTTCTCAAATCATTTAATTTACATAAACTCTGCCCTTTTTTATATAAAGCTGTAAGCTTGCATTCACATCTTCCTCTAACTGATCGACTGAACCAAGTCCCCGTCCTCCTTTTTTTTTCTTCCAGATAATCAGTTTCACTCACAATGCAGCAAAATGATTTTGTCTCTACTTTTGTTACATTGCAACTTTAACCAAACATATACTTACATCTAAACAAAACAATGGAATTAAACTTCGAATAAAGACAAAGCGTGAGTGGAAAAATAAAATGTCTAAACAAGGTGTTCCTGTTAGAGCAATCAAACAAGAGCTGCAGCTTGCATGCCACAGAGTGAAGAAAAAATTACAGGACCTATACAAACAAACATGGTGCATTCACATGTCATTATGAAACCCAAAACCACTAAGATGAAGAAGAGCCAGCAAAACCTAAACAAAAACTTAATCCGGCACCTTTAAATGTTGAATTCCTCTTAGAAATGTTTGTTTTTACTAAACTGACACTTAGTGTTCTTGTTTTTTTGAAAGTCTTTTGTTTTCCCACTCAGATCCCCAGGATGAGAATAAGATTGGGATCGATGGAATTCAACAGTTCTGTGATGACCTCAATCTGGATCCGGCCAGCATCAGTGTTCTGGTTGTGGCATGGAAATTCCGTGCAGCAACACAGTGTGAATTCAGCAAGAAAGAGTTCATTGATGGCATGACAGAGCTGGGGTGGGCTATGACATAATTTCTTTATTTAGTTATGGGCACGTGACAATATTTGGGTTGTGTGGTGGCTGGCAATATCATTAAAGGGGTCATATGATGCGATTTCAATTTTTCCTTTCTCTTTGAAGTGTTACAAGCTCTTGGTGCATAAAGAAGATCTGTAAAGTTGCAAAGACTAAAGTCTCAAATCCAAAGAGATATTCTTTATAAAAGTTAAGAGTCAGCCACACCTACCTAAAACACCTCGTTCTAACACGCCCCCACATACCTATGTCACTATCTGGGAAGATTTGCATAACGCCACACAAATGTTCACGCAAAGAAAGACGGTGTAACTTTTATTCTCACTGTAGTATTGTTGCTGCCGCCATGTCGTGAAGATGCTGTGTGCTTCGTTGTGAATGCGAAACTATTTTGTTTGGCCTTCCAAAAGAGGATGACAACCGCTTCGTCATGCCTAGAGCTGATCCGTGCTGGTCGCTGAGGAAATACAACAACTTTGCGCTGTGGATCACCGGATCGGCTTTCATTTGTAAAAATCGACGCGTTTCAGAAAGGCAGGGCATAGAGGAGAAACAATAATATACAGTATGTGGAAAATGTGTTTTTTTAACCTTAAACCGCATAAACATTTCATTACACCAAACAATGTTCTTTTTAGCAACATCATATGACCCCTTTAAAGGTGCTTTGGGAATATCACACAAAATGTCCTACTACCTGACAGAATCACTGAAAAAAAGGTGTCTTGAGAAATCACACATCAGCTTTGAGCACCACAGAAAAATGAGCCAATCTGAAATGCTTGATGTATCTGAAATTATTTTGCACGTTTTAGATTTGCTGAGAGAAGCTGTATAGTTCAAATTGGCAGAATGGAAGAAGTCAGGCTGGAATCGCTAACAGCATCTTTAAGTTTTGTATGAATGGCGTGAAGAATCAGTGATTAGATTAATGATGAGCCTAAACGTTTCATTTCATCTGCAGGTGTGACAGTCCGGAGAAGCTTCGAGCTCTTCTGCCCAGATTAGAACAGGATCTGAAAGACAGCGGAAAGTTCAAAGACTTCTACCAGTTCACCTTCAACTTTGCCAAGAATCCTGGACAAAAAGGTTTAGGTAAGGGCACCGTTTCTTTCTGCATTTCTGTGAGTTTTCACTCTGGTTTCTAACACTGAATAAACAGTTGTCTGTATTAATGGTCTTTTTCCATTTCAGATTTAGAGATGGCAGTAGCATATTGGAACCTGGTTCTGGTTGGACGTTTTAAGTTCCTAGACCTCTGGAACAGATTTTTATTGGTAAGTCATCATTACAGCTTTGGACCTTTGATCCTGTTTCACACTGAATACAAATTAAAATGGGTTTTAACCACAGAGTGGAATAATTTCCTTCAGCAATTAATTTAGATGCTCTCTGGTCTCTGTCCTTATTTTGTGCAGGAGCATCATAAGCGATCAATTCCCAAAGACACATGGAACTTACTCCTGGATTTCGGCAACGTGATTGCAGATGACATGTCAAACTATGATGAAGAAGGTGACATGCATTATCAATACTTTTTAGTTTTGTGAGTTGACTGAATTTTTAGCAATCGGTCTTTTAAGTCATAAATTGGCTACATTTACTCATATAGGGTATGTTGGATTTTAATAATGTGACGTTTTGCTTTGTTTCAGGAGCATGGCCTGTTCTCATCGACGACTTTGTGGAATACGCTCGGCCAATCGTGACAGGATCAAAACGCAAAACTGTATAGTAACACTGCCCCTGGGCGAGAACTCACGCCTTGGTCGCCTCATTGACTTTGTAGTTTTTATAAAGACTTGTAAGCATTATAAGAGAGAACTAAGAGAAACACTTGAAACCGACAAGCTTTGCAAAAGGAAAAACAGGATGGAAAAGACGACTAAGACTTCCACACATCACACAGGAAGGACAAGAGTGCGAAACTCAAGATTTCTTATAGAGCCATCAAATGCACATGGCCAGCTATATTTGCACTGGCGACTCAATTCTAGCCCGAAACCCTTGGAGATTTTGGGTGGATAACTTCGAACCTAGTACCTCATCTCCATAGCAATCAGTGTCACTCTATAGGGCCGAGTCTTCATTGCCTACCCACTCCTCACAGTCTGAATTATGGAATAGTCTCTCCAGTTTCGTTTTAGATTATGTACCCATCTGTCTGGGTGTGTATCTCATGCAGGACGTGATGCTGATCATGTCCGCATTTTAAGCCAGACGTTCATGGGAGCATGCGGCTCACAACACCAGCACTATTGTTACAGTTGTAAAATACTGTATCTACTGCAGCTGTATGTACAGAGAGAAATGTATTCTCAGTAATGTTTTATTATATGAAATATGAGAAATATGAAAGAAAGGCGTGGTCAAAATAAGATGCCTCCATACCATGTTCTTGTGTGAATTTAGGTCAAACGTGTCATCTGCCCTGTTGCGGAACTTGTAACAACAAGGTTCAGTGTTACTTTTTTTTTTTTTTTTGCAGATTTATGTTAAGAAATAAATTATTGCCCTTTATGTTCTTCTCAATCTCTAACAACCCTGTTATTCTTTAACAGGGCATCTATGCTTGGACAAGAAGAGGCTTTGCAAGCTTTCACTATGAAACAGTATCACAAATTGAACATGCTTCTGAATCAAAATGATTAGTACAGAATATTAATATCTCCCTTCATAAATCACTGAAAAGCAACCCTGAAGCATGATGGTAGGGCTGCAGTTATATTTGGTTTGCACCAAACATTCAGGACACTGGGTTAATTTTAGTGTCCTGAGACCACAATTATTTATATTTAAAAAAAAAGCTTCTAGCAAAATTCAGGCATGATGTAATGTTCATCTTTTTCAGAAGTGGTTTCCTCCTTGTCGAAGGGTGACAAATCTGCAGTGCTGAGAATATTGATGCCAGCCAAAATGCTCTGCATCGTGGTCAGTAGCGTAGCTGGCCTATGACATCTTCCCTCTTTTTTTCGCTTGCTCAGTTAGGCCTGGATTGTGCCCAGTGTTTCTTTTATCCATTAATGTGTATAGGGAGATTTAAACCTTTGCCAATAATATTATAACCTTTTGAAGCTTTTTTAATTCTTCAGTTCTTCTGAAAGTTCAATTTCACGGGCTGATCTTTTTTTTTAGTGAACAGAAGCAGTCCAACACAGTAAAATAACTGATTATATCAATTTAATGTATTTAAAACAGTTTTAGTATGATTGTGCATGACTTTCTTCTGTGAAACATGAGATTTTAGGCTGACGTCTGCCTGATATTCTCAATTCTCAACAAAAAAAAAGTATCAGGAACAACATGAGGGTGAGTAAACGATGACCATTTTTATTTTGGGTGAACTATTACTTTAATGGCGGAAAGAAACTTTCAATGCAATTTTACTGTGTACCACAAGAGAGCGGCGATGTGTTTATAACCCAAAGAGGATTCACGTTTGCGAGGTTGTGTGTTTATGTATTGCTGTGTTTATATATATATATATATATATATATGTTACAATATTCTAAGTGTGTAAAAAAATGTATTTTCACTGAAACTTGCATTTTTGTTGCATTTTTCGTTGTTACTTCCAATCCATACAGATAATAATAAAAAAAAATAACGGAACTTCACAAAATCCGTGTTTCTGTACGGAGTGTTATCAATGTAACACACGTTTTATGCTAACCGCGGGCTTCAATCTACATACACTGATATTCTCAAATCTCAACAAAAAAAAAGTATCAGGAACAACATGAGGGTGAGTAAACGATGACCATTTTTATTTTGGGTGAACTATTACTTTAATGGCGGAAAGAAACTTTCAATGCAATTTTTCTGTGTACCACAAGAGAGCGGCGATGTGTTTATAACCCAAAGAGGATTCACGTTTGCGAGGTTGTGTGTTTATGTATTGCTGTGTTTATATATATATATATATATATATATGTTACAATATTCTAAGTGTGTAAAAAAATGTATTTTCACTGAAACTTGCATTTTTGTTGCATTTTTCGTTGTTACTTCCAATCCATACAGATAATAATAAAAAAAAATAACGGAACTTCACAAAATCCGTGTTTCTGTACGGAGTGTTATCAATGTAACACACGTTTTATGCTAACCGCGGGCTTCAATCTACATACAGAGGATCAGTCTTACAAAACTAATTTTCAATCTATTGCATTTGACAAGAATGACAGTTTTTTGTATTTGACAAACAGTACAATCACCATGAATCTTGACAGGCTTCGTAAAAGAGTGAGACACTACATTGATCAGGTAAGAAGAGGCAGTATATTTAGCATTAAGACTGTAGCATCAATTTGTATTTCAAGTAAGATTTGATTAATTTCTGATTTTATAAAGCTGTTTATATGATACTACGTAATCAGAATATTATTGAAAATGAAAAAGGTAGAGTTAGTACATTAAGCTCGGAACACCTGGGTGTATTCTTGAAGCTAGCCAGCTGACTTTCATGCTAACAGATTTGAAAGCTTCTTAATTTATTTTTAAATAACATAATTAATAGATATGGCATCATGTTGTTTTGGACTGTTATTCTCAGAAATAAATAGGTAATATAACCTCTATGAGGGCGTGTGCACGTCAGACTGCACTAATGTGGCTAAATGATCTTCTACATCAAGTTTTATCTTCATAGTGACAATATAAATGAAATGAAGTTTTTCTCTATAATTATCGCATGATCTGTTTTATAGCAACAGTATCAAAGTGCTCTGTTCTGGGCTGACAAAGTAGCATCCTTATCACATGGTAAGTATCTTCATCCTCCTGAACACTATGGATACTGTCAAACAGCAGTAGATACAATTCATATTCTGTGTTAATTAAATTACCTTGACTCTTAATTGCATACTGGACTAATCCCAGACTGTTTAATCTCTTATAGAGGATCCTCAAGACATCTATTGGTTAGCACAGTGCCTTTATTTGACAGCACAGTATCACAGAGCTTCTCATGCGCTCAGATCTCGCAAACTTGACAAGGTAAGAGCTACTGACTGATCGATTGATGAAAGTCATTTCAGTAGTAACAGATATTCTTAAGTCTCTGAGTTGCAGTCCTTCAAAAACCTAACCCGATCAATTAATTGACACAAATGTATTTCCATGCTGAAATGTTGGAAGTGCAGTAGAATGAAGTAAAGAAATCATCGTGTTCAAGGGAGTTAATGAATTAGTATACAGTGCTTGTTATTTATAGCTTCGTTTTTGTTTCTCAGTTGTATGGAGCCTGTCAGTATCTAGCTGCAAGATGTCACGTGAGTATTTACATTAATGTCATGAAAGCTTTATTTTATGCATTATATAAAATCAAATATTGTGAAATTGCATATAAATGCATTATATATACAATATATATTTTTGCCTTTTTGTGGGAAGATTTGTAAAATGGATTTTACTATGTAAATGTAAATAAATAAGTGTATTGGTATCTGAAAGCGTAATCAAACTAGCCAAAATATTTAATAAATGGGTGGAGCATTTGTGTAACTTACAGACCAATTTTTCTGAAAACCTATATAAGGAAATAATCATTGATTGTACTATTACATTTTTTTGTAATCTGCAGTATGCTGCCAAAGAATATCAACCAGCTCTTGACATACTGGACATGGAGGAAGCAGCCAGTAAAAAATTATTGGAGAAGAATGTAAAGGAGGATAACGGCTCAAGAGAAACCGTAAAGGAATGGGAAATGTCTCCTGCTTCAGTGAGCCTAACTCTTTTATTTATTTATTTTAGGATCAAAACGGCATTGTTTTTTCCCCCTGATTTTCTTGTTCATTGATTGTGTTTATTATGTTTTATTTTTTAGATTTACACTATACCTGAATGAATGAGTCCAGTTGGTCTTTAGAAATAAACAGTTTGACTGGATCTTTTACTCCCTGTGGCCTTTTCATTTAGATCAATAGTTCCATCTGTCTCTTGCGGGGGAAGATCTATGATGCCATGGACAACAGACCCCTAGCCACGTCTAGCTACAAAGAGGCCTTGAAACTGGACGTCTACTGCTTTGAAGCCTTTGACCTTTTGACGTCCCATCACATGCTGACCGCCCAAGAGGGTGAGAGAAGCATTTCATACTTTCATTCAGTTTTTGAAATTCTGTTTTTGTACATTAAGTTGCTTACAGCTTAACTAACATTTTTAGTGGACCCTAAAAAATATGTATGTATATAAATGCTTTTAAATTCATAAAATGTTATTTTGTTGTAGAGAAAGATTTCTTGGATTCTCTGCCCTTAAGTCAACAATGTACAGAAGAGGAAGTGGAATTGCTGCATTTCCTTTTTGAAAATAAGTTAAAGAAGGTAAGAAGGCCTTTTTTCTATCGAAACTTTAGTAAGGTTCAATTAGGACAAAAAGAAGTAAAAGATTTGTGTACCAAAGATGGTTTGCTAAGATTTACATATGAAAAAGCTTTGATTGAACATCCACGTCATCGTGTGGATCAGATGCTGTTCATAATTTTTCCCGATTTTGTTGTGTTTATTCTTCAGTTTAAAAAAGGAACGTGCACAAATTACTATGAGAATTTGAAGTACCTGTTTATTCAGTCAATGGTTTTGAAGTGCTCACTGAAGAGCTAATCAGCAACTCTCCTTTTCCAGTATAACAAACCTAGCGAGATGGTCGTCCCAGAAATAGTCAACGGTCTCCAGGACAACTTGGATGTTGTCGTCTCCCTCGCAGAGCGACATTATTACAACTGTGACTTTAAAATGTGCTACTCTCTTAC